TGCGCGTATTCTGTCCTTGTCAGTGACAGGACAGTCGTGCGCAGGTCGACGCTTGTCTACAAGTTTTAACATTCATGCATAAATGCAGAAATGTATATGCGTGAATGGTTTTATGCATAAACATGAAAACGGTCAGGTGCAAATGTGTTTGCGCATAAACGTATGCATTAATGTGAGCTGCTTCACTACAAGGATAACGGGGGTCCTGGTATCAGCAGCTGATTCAGCAGAACCAGAGAATGTGAAAATTAAAATATGTTCGGCATAGTCACTGCACTTTGCTGCCCCCGCCCCCCCCCCCCTCCCCCCCCTTTGCACAACGTGTCCGAATCTGGTCACGGCGCCGCGTCTGTCCGCGCAGAAAATTGAAGGCCTTATTTCATCAATATGACGCTTAGAATACAGCAAGTGTAACTCAGCACAACCGTAGAATCAACAGACATAGCAAAAATCCAGGTTCTGAACGAAAACCAGTAAAAATAACGAGGTTTCTTTATTGCACACAAATTTGAAGGCCAACCATAACAGATGGCGGCGGTGCCGCCGATACCACGACGACCCGCCTACACGCGAGGGCGACACCACGGCTTCGGTGGCTGTCCAGCCCGGTCGCACCATCTTCCATGCGGCTGGGTCACTGGCCGCGTCTCCGTAGAGGCAGCGCTTCCTTGCAGCGTTCTAGCAAGTCTGCCTGCGATGTACAGCCGCCACGGCACACTCATGCATTGGACGCGCCCTTCTTTGACCCACAGAGCAGGTGATTCAGGACCCTTGCTCGCCTCAAAAGAATCTGCTTTGGGGCCTGTTTGAAGTTTGCTGCACTGACGTATGTTGAGGTCACGAAATGATTTAGTTTAAATTCATTTTGTTGTTCAAAGGTACCTAGGCGACCCACACGTGAATTAATTTCATGACAGTGGTGGCCAAGAATACGAAGATGGGGCGTAAGGGCTCCAGTTCTGCGCTTACGCCACATGGTCACTACCAGCTCATACCCATGTTCTCTCTCCTTTTCTTTCATCACATCACCCTCCATCACATACTCCTTGTCCTTTCTCATCTTCCCCACCCTTACAGTGCACTCAGAAGGCACTACTTTATTGGTATCTCCCACTGCACTAACACAACGCACATGCCATCCTTGCTGGTGTGTCTCACTGTTATTTAGGATAGTGTCCACACTTTTGCCCACAAAATAATGAAGGTCTTTAAACAGAACTGGCACACTAACAGTACACCTTGCTTTTTGCCAAACAGGAAAACAAAGAGCCTTGAAGATTTTGGTGTTTAAAGACTGGGCAACAAGAGCAAGAGATGATTTGATAACTGTATTCTGAGGTGTCCCATAGAACTTCTGGGTGCTGATACTCTTCATCTGAAAAGGATGGAAAATGGTTCAGGAAAAAACAAGCATTAAATGAACATCACTCAGTCACTCTGTACCACATGAGCTGTGAGATGAAAATGGTAGTCATGTTTAAGGTCATGCAGGAGAGCAACTGAAATGCAGTGGAACATGCAATTGACTTGGCATTATGCTCTGTCCAGTATAACATCATTGAAAAGAATGAAGTTAATAAAATTGAAGGAATTAAGAAATGAATAGTGTTTGTCATCAAAATCCAACAGAGTGAAAACTGGAAATGTCACAACACATGGTGATACTTTTGCCATGATACACATGATACCTGATTTTAATTGTCTTTAAAAAACTGGCAGTTCCCATGGATAATCAAACACCAACATAGGTTTGTGTACTGGCCAGAAGAAATGTAGCATTCGGTTGGGTTGGGAAATGCAAGCCTGACACAAGGCTCAGAAGCATGATCATTACAAGGACATTCAGTGGGCAATACTCCCTCAAAAGAGACCAACTTCATCCTACTGCAATGCAGCATTCAGCAAAATGTCAACATACATTGTACAGTGGTACCAAAGGTGCTCAAATGAATAAGGCCTTGTCAAACAGCTGAATGAGGTCAACAATGCAGTCAGCAAAAGGCATCTGCTGAATGGCATGGAGGTAAGATCAATGTGCAGACTGTTTGGTGCATGGGTGTGCCAGCATAGCCCAGACCACGCTGGGCTGAAGATCCTGATGTTTTGTTTGCATATGATCACCATCACAGCATTATGATTTCTTCAGTATTTCTATCAGACTTACTTCCCGCATGGCGAGGTCAGAATTCTGAGGGTTTTTATAGGTGCTGATACCATGGGAAACTTGTGCTAGAAACCTCAGGCTGCATAGTATTGATACTTTTGTCAAACCTGTTAAAAACACTTCCATGCAGTATGCAAAATTATAATTCATGAACATTCATTGCTTATTGGAGGCTATTAACAAGAACAGGCAACAGCTGAATCCCAGTCATTGCTCCTGCATATAAGTGTGCTGCTTCTGAAGCCAGAAGTCAGGTTCAAAAGGATTCAGACGTGTAGACCCTAGAATAATGTACAAGATCAATTTAGTTTTAGATGTGGGCATGACCAGAAAGTGCTGGAATGTAGATTGTTGCCATGCGTATTGGTATTATGATCAGGTGCTGTATGTTGCAAATCAGACATTGCTAGCCTTTATGGTGTAAGCAAATGGAACACTCTCAATGTATGCACATGTTCGTTAATGCAGGCATACAGATATGCTGTTAGGTGTGAGATCCAATTGATGCTTAAAAGAAATTCTCAATTTGGTTTTGTTCGCAAAGATCTTGGTTCATCAAACTAACTGATCTAACCTCATGCAATTCCACGGTAAGTATACCATGTTTTCACCCGTGCAAAAAAATGACGAGGAAGATTGGATGATGCATCAGGGTATCGAAGCAGCATTCACGTGTGACACAATACGCACCTTTCACCCATCTTCGCCAGACACGTCCTTCCTTGCTGCTGAAAAACCATGTCCACACCTCCGACGCGCGAAGCCGGAGCGGCGGCAACGTTATACAGGACGCGCAAAGCACCCGCCGTTTCAGCGCCAATTATTAGCAACGTCTGTCGCAGGCGCGCCATACTCGTATAAAATGCTGGGAATATATAAACGTCTTGATAATTATTTTCTTTCCTTATGCGCCCCAATGTCCGCAGGTATACAGCGTTTGAACCGTAACGAGCTCGGCTCGACCGCGGGTGTGCGCCACATGGTCACGGGCGCAAAAGTACATGGAGTCGCCGACGGGAAGACTACAGCATTACACCATTACAGGTACCTATAAATCGCCTTGGGTGTGGGAAGGATGGCTGATGTTCATTTATGTGTTGAAAATATTACACAAGAAATACTGACGAAGTTTATGCACATTGCAAAGCATTATATAGCATTGCTAGCGCACTTGAATTTTTAGGTATGTTATTTATATAGTTTCGTTGGCAGCGCTTGACCAGGTGTTTCCGTGGTGTAGTGGTTATCACATCCGCCTAACACGCGGAAGGTCCCCGGTTCGATCCCGGGCGGAAACACGCGTTTTATCGCATTTGGCAGTGGGCAAGTGGACTGTGTGCGGCAGTTCACTCGGTAGCAATAATTCATATTTCTTGATCACGAGGCATGGATTTATCAGACAAGCACTCGCAAGAGTACCCGATGCATCACAAAAGTACTCAATTGTTGATGGCGCGAAATTCTTTTCCTACCGCCATCACCGCACTGAATGGGTTACGATATCGATGTGTCTTGGTCTTTCGCTACCTGCTGTTGCAATGTTCTTCGTGCATTTTCGTTTTGCTGTAGGTCCCTGCTACAATAGTATCACATCTGGTATTTGGCTAGCAGGACTAGCTCGACGTTGTGGGGCTAAATAGCGATTTTATTGGCTAAAATATGTCAAAAAATCCCTATGCTGGACTAGGCCCTACGTACAAACTTTATGATGAGACTGCTTAAAATAACACCTTTAGGCTATACATGTTCCTGAGGTTCGTACTGACTGATGATCACTGTAAGTAATGTTCTGATCTAAGACCGTGTGTGGGACTTTGTAAACCCCTGACTGAGCCCGCCTGTTGTTCCTCTTGCAGCCTGAAACGTTAAACCATTCAATTTGACATACATTTAACGTTAAAATTGTTTGCGGAGGCTGCGAACCTGGACGACTTTTTGACATATTTTAGCGGCAGTGTCTTTACAGACTGAAACCATTTTCTAGATCCACGTCTTATTTTTCAAGAGCAATATTCTGCAGCAGCTGGATGCATTGCCTGGTAGTTCGGCTCCTCAAAGTGCACGGGCGATGGATGCGAGAAATTCTCTGAAAAAGTGCACGGGCGATGGATGCGAGAAGTTCCCTGAAAAGGCAGTGACCGGCCGTAGTCTAGACATGAAATATCGTGTTAGGTGAGCGGCGGGTACCGGACGCCGGCCTCCATGACTCGGCTGCTGTTGGGACCGGCATCAGCTTTCACTGATTCCATAGATCGCGTCCACGCAGTCGAGTCTCCTTACGTCACTCTGCTGAGCAGTGCGCCATGATCGCTGCAGGCTCCCTAAGAGGCCGACCGAGGGCCGACGCGATATGTACCGTAGCACCGCAGAGAGGCCCCCGGGCTCCCCCTCCCCTGCCGACGCCGCCATCTGTCACCCATCGCCGTCCCCTACACCCTGCCCCTCCTCCGACCCTCTTCACACGGCTGGTGAGAACCAAAACAGCCGCCGTCTCGCCGTGCTATCTGAGCCTGGGCCAAGCGGATGCATGTCAGGCGCGGATGCAGGTCGGCAGAGTGGGAGGCGCTTGAGAACTCGTGCACCAACACGCCTGGCGCCAGGCAGCAGCTCACAGATAGAAGATAACCAGCGGGACGGCAGGGATCTCGCCTCCACCTGGGGAACCGGGGCGGGGTGGAGGACGGGGACGGGTTCAGCGGTCAGGGGTGTTCACGCTCCATCCAACAAGGTACAGACGACCGGTGCCTGATACGACACCCCGCAGGACTCGCCTCCTGCGTCTACGGAAGCTCCGCTCCCCTCCCAGCCGTCGACACCGTCCAGAGGGTGTCGCGGGACGGGGCCGCTCAGAGCCGCGCATCACGCTCAGAGGACTACAGTCCTCTGAGGACGGCAGTCCGAGGACTGCGTGTGACTGGGGACAGGACGGCGAGCGTGGCACGTGGTCTCAGGGTCAGGGCGTCAGGTGTGTCACGTGGTCTCAGGGTCAGGGCGTCAGGTGTGACACGTGACCTGAGCACGGCACGTCGTGCGTGACACGTGACCTGTGGCTGCTGGCGTCACGACCAGGAAGTGAAGATGTGGCTGATGATGCTGGCGATGGCGGTGGTCGTCCTGGGCGCTCCCAGAGAGCAGATCTGCGGATATGACGTGAGTTCCCGTGGCGCTTCGCTCCACGCGCGTGAAGCGGGGCGTGGGAATACTGGTGAACGCCGAAATGCCCCACAGGTCCGGGTTTTACGAAGTTGGTGCAACTACTTTTCGGCTGTGTAACACCGAGAACGATAGCGCAATTTCCAATGACCTAACAACTCTGTATGGCGGGGTGTAGACTCCGATTCAGTCCGGGCCTCAGCCACGCCCCCGACTTTGTGAAGACAGTGGGCCAAAGCCGGGGAGAAACCCGCTTGTTGGCGGATTTTTTTTGTAGGTTTCTCCATTTTCACTGCTTAGCTCCTCCAGCTAATTTTGCAAAATTTTGCAACTCCTGTGTGATGATTCTGCGACTGGCTCTAAGACCTAACATCAAAGGGATGTTCCACATTTGAAGATATTAAAGCAAGCATCAGATTTGATGAATCAAGCTCACTTATTACTACTGGTATTCCATTAAGCGAAAAAGACTGCTCTAGCCCACATAATTTCTCTATTTTCTGAGTAGCCTCCTCAATATGTCATCGTACCTTGTACAACATTGACTGAGAGCCTATTGACGGCCGATGCATCTGGAAACTGCGCCCACGAACGTCAGACATGAACGACTGGACAATTATATTTGTCATGGTCCTGATCGCCGCAGGGCTTATGAAATAGCAGGATTTTAATGACGTCATTATGGCGTCATGGATGCCTGGGTAACCTTGAAATTGTCTCCCCGAAATAGTCTATACATCTTCGCGGGCGTGTAGCTCAGAAACTAGAAAAGTTTAGGTCTTAAGAAGGGCAGGGCTGTAAACTGCACTGAATGACCTTTAAGACGACCATTTCAGTTCAAAATCCCATGCAAATGTGTAACGCTTCTTTTAAACGGTTTACAACGAACTATCAGCCTATGTCATTTCTCCAACGCACACCCGCTGGGCCATTTTTTTGCGTGGTTAAGTTCGTGGTTCAGACAGACCTGCCACAAAGAACGTGCCCACGAGCACCGGCTTCTTCGATCCAAGCTCGTATAAATCGCGCAACTTAATGTAAGTCTCATTATGGGTGAGTCGTGCGTACGCACTCTTAAAATTTGTAAGCAAGACGCCATCGCGGAAGCTCCTTCTGTGTCCATTTCGGTCATGCATGCCCATTCTGTCTATATGCGATCGCGGAAGCTGCTTCTGTATCCACCCCCGGTCATACACACCCACTCCGTCTGTACACCATCGTTGAAGCTCCTTTTGTGTCCATCCTAGTCATACATACCCACGCGCGTTCCATATCTGCGTACCGTGCGGAAACCGAAGTGGCCTTCGGTTATCGCTCTGTCATTTCTCAGAAATGTCCGACGGGTAAGCCGGACATGTTGAACGTGTACCCTCACTCTGTCATGTTTCAGAAATGTCCGACGGGTAAGCCGGACATGTTGAACGTACACCTGGTGCCACACACTCACGACGACGTGGGCTGGCTGAAGACCGTCGACCAGTACTTCTACGGAGGTGAAGGGCGATGAGGGACTGGGCTGGAGGCATACCGGCCACGGGTGTCTGTCGGCAGAGGTGGTGGGCTCGAAGGCGGTCTCGCAGTGTTTGTCGGCAGAGGTGGCGGGTCTAAGGTAGCGGACTTAGCCTCCCTCTCAAAGCGCGTTTTTCAACGAGTGTAGCACTCTTTATTTCGCAGAACAGCGGTTATAATCTTCATTTTTGCACCATCTATCAAATGGACGTTGTTTGTGTAGAATGCTAGTTATGCAGTTGCGCAGTGTCCCGGCAGCAAAAAAAAAATTGGGCCTTTACCAAAATTGCCGCGGGGGGGGGGGCAGGATCCTCATGAAAGAATACAAAGCAAAACCCGTTGATGAGACGGTCCTGAGCCAAGAACTCGCTGAGTGTCACAATGATCGGATGTCTCTGATTAGACGGCTCGACGATATGTGCGTCTATATTTCGTGTCCACTGTGCGTGTGTATGTTGCGTCCATTATGTGCCTGTATGCTGCGTCCACTGTGTGCCACTGTCACTTCCACTGTGCCTCTATATTTCGTCTTTTTCTCATCTGCGCATTGAATCAGGTGTTCATCTGTGTCTTGTGTCGTTTTGTGCCTGTAATTCATGAGCATGCTTCTAGATGTGCGTGTGCTCGATAGACCATATGTTATGTTTCACCTTAGTGTTTCGTCCAGCGCAACTTTGTTCTCCTTTTTCAGCCAAGAATGACATACAACGGGCCGGCGTCCAGTACATCTTGGACTCCGTCATTGACGAACTGGTCAAGGATTCTTCAAGACGGTGAGAGCAATCCTCCAAAGCCTCGTTGTGCACAAACATCATGACAATTTGTTCGCCTGATCGGAACAAGACACCTTATCAGTTTATTGGATCCAAAAAACGCCTCTCCGCCAGAAACCCACAAAATGTTAGATGAAGTTTGTATGCTGATGGGCAGCTGTCTAAAGAAAAAAAACTTTGCTGGAGGCCTCCCCTGACGTTCGCATGCTGATTCGCCAACCCAAAAACTTTCTACGTAATTTTTGGGGCAGCTGTCTAAAAAAGTTGCTGAAAGCCTCCCCCTGACGTCGTTGGGATGCTGATACGCCAACCCGAAAACTTTCTACGTAATTTTTGAGAGCTGAGTGTGTTTATTGACCCACGTCAATGGTGCTCAGTTTCATATACGTGGAGACGGCGTTCTTCTGGCGCTGGTACCTGCAGCAGGACGAGCAGACAATCGCCACTGTGGAGAACCTCGTCAACGAGGGACGGCTCGAGTTTATCGGCGGCGGCTGGAGCATGAACGACGAGGCCTGCGTCCACTACAACGCCGTCATCGACCAAATGTCGCTCGGCATGAGGTGAGAACATTTGTCGCTCGGGGTGAGGTGAGAACAGTTGCTGCTCTGGCTGGATTAAGAACGCAGGTCTCCCAATACGAGGTGATAACACATGCCGCTCGGCAGATGAGTTCTGAAGGTCGTGCTGTTCGAGGAGAGGTGATATCAAGGGCCCCTCGGGATTAGACGATGACGCAAGCCGCTCGGAATGAGGAAATATCGCTACCAGGTGGCAGAAAGACAGCCTGGGCGTGCTTCAGAACACGATTATGACACGGATTCCGTAAGGAACTCCTGCTAGAGAACAAAGTGCAACCACTTAAATAAGTCAAAGCCACTCAAACAGTGTCTAGTCAAACCAGTCACAACCAGCTAGTGTCCCGTTGTGACCTGTGCCTGGTCCTGGACACCACGTACCATTTCAGTCCTTGTGGTGTCGCTGCGACCTGACCTGGTTCCAGGACATTGTCTGACCACTTCGGTACCTGCGGCATCCCCCGGGTGGCGTGGCAGATCGATCCCTTCGGCCACACCAAGGAGCAGGTCAGTGGAAGCATGTGAGGGGGCCAAGAACAGAACGAGGCCGGCGCTGCTAACCCTGCACGACCAAATTTTGGCCAACTGCCTAGTCCATCAGAAACTCGTCAACAGAACAAGCAAGTGCCAAAGCTGTTTTCGATGCACTGTGTGGCCAAACACCTTGCTTGATGACACACACTTCATGACATGTGTGCACTCCGCCACAGGCCAACCTGTTCGCCCAGATGGGCTTCGACGGCCTGTTCTTCGCCCGGATTGACTACGACGACCGAAAAAGGCGGATCAACGACACCGACATGGAGATGGTGTGGCAGGCGGACCACAACCAAGGTCAGCTCTCACGGTGCGGACCGTGACCAAGGTCAGCCGGCCGGGTGTCGGTGAGGTCAGCGGGAAGCGTTGTCATCGTCAATGGGGCTTTACGACACATTCAGCGGCGGAGGCTGTATGATATCGCCCGCTTCTCACCCTGGCAGGAAGAGTGAGCACCGCGGGGAATCGAAGCCCGTACCTCTGGTTTCTCAGACGCACAATGTCATGTGGAATCGTGGTCAGAGCCATCGTGTGTGTAGGATATCTCGGTTGTTTCTGAGAACCCCGTACCTCTGGTTTCTCAGACGCACAATGTCATGTGGAATCGTGGTCAGAGCCATCGTGTGTGTAGGATATCTCGGTTGTTTCTGAGAACCCCGTACCTCTGGTTTCTCAGACGCACAATGTCATGTGGAATCGTGGTCAGAGCCATCGTGTGTGTAGGATATCTCGGTTGTGTCTGAGAACCCCGTACCTCTGGTTTCTCAGACGCACAATGTCATGTGGAATCGTGGTCAGAGCCATCGTGTGTGTAGGATATCTCGGTTGTGTCTGAGAACCCCGTACCTCTGGTTTCTCAGACGCACAATGTCATGTGGAATCGTGGTCAGAGCCATCGTGTGTGTAGGATATCTCGGTTGTGTCTGAGAACCCCGTACCTCTGGTTTCTCAGACGCACAATGTCATGTGGAATCGTGGTCAGAGCCATCGTGTGTGTAGGACATTCCGTTGTTTCTTAGGTTAAAGTGCCTTATGCAGTGGTGTCGGACACCTTAATGTACAGTGACATGAAGTCACTGAAGGATGATAAAAAGTGAGCAATGCATTGACATCAGTTGCTGTGATACCAAAAATTTTGATAGATGACAATGATTTGGTGATATTTGTAACATATTCCTCATCTCCAACATGAAAGCCATCCATTTTCATTTTGTTCCAATGACGTATGCTAGCAAGAATCGGTTATCCGTAGCGTATGTTCTATTTATTTTGTTCCGTGTCAGCTCATTGCTTGTTCGAGACACGTATTGGCTCTCTGCTTAAAATATGTCTTTTCCGATTCAGCTATGGTATCAGTGACTAACTGATATTAAAAGACTAGGCGTGTTATTTCCACCGCAAAATTAAATTAATTGGTCATCAAAACCTATGAAATGCATTTAAGGTGGAAAATTGCACAATATTGTAAAAATAAATCAAAAGCCTGTAGAACAAATATACCCAAACCGATGGGGCAATATTTGACCAACCAAAGCGCCAGTGTCTGGTTTAAAAGTACGGATAAGCTCATTAAGTAAGACCAGTGGTGAATGACTCATGCATGAGCCGCGACTGTGGCGCCATGCGCTGAACAGGTAAGTATGACTGTAAATGCGATTGTCACGCCTCTTTATGGGTATGTGTCTGTCCGTTCACATATGTCTGTCGCTTCTCTCCTGCACCTGTCTTTCTCTTTCCTCCCTTGTCACTTCGTCTTCATTTTTGTCATTTCTTGCATTGCCCACGCTATGGCAGCGTTGCAGCAGGGGTTGACCAGCGATGGTATTACCACAGTGTTTTGGCGCGAACAGGGCCAGTGGTCAGCCAAACAACCACCGATCCGCCCGAAGCGAACAGGGCCAGCGGCCAGCTTAACAACCACCGATCCGCCCGAAGCGAACAGGGCCAGCGGTCAGCTGTACAGCCACCGATCCGCCCGAAGCGAACAGGGCCAGCGGCCAGCTTAACAACCACCGATCCGCCCGAAGCGAACAGGGCCAGCGGTCAGCTGTACAGCCACCGATCCGCCCGAAGCGAACAGGGCCAGCGGCCAGCTTAACAACCACCGATCCGCCCGAAGCGAACAGGGCCAGTGGTCAGCTGTACAACCACCGATCCGCCCGAAACGAACAGGGCCAGCGGTCAGCTTAACAACCACCGATCCGCCCGAAGCGAACAGGGCCAGCGGTCAGCTGTACAGCCACCGATCCGCCCGAAGCAAACAGAGCCAGCGGTCAGCTTAACAACCACCGATCCGCCCGAAGCGAACAGAGTCAGCGGTCAGCTTAACAACCACCGATCCGCCCGAAGGGAACAGGACCAGCGGTCAGCTTAACAACCACCGATCCGCCCGAAGGGAACAGGACCAGCGGTCAGCTTAACAACCACCGATCCGCCCGAAGCGAACAGGGGCAGCGGCCATGCGCATTACTGGATCACGTTCCACGCCAGTCACGCGCTTACCGCGTTTCCATGGAAACGGAGTGACACCGGTGGCGGAACAGAACGAAGCATTGGTAAGAAATGCTGACCCAGGCATGCATCTCAACGCAAGACGAGACATCTCAAGGAACACAGTCTATCAGCATGCGGCTGGTGTGCGGACCCTTTGACCGAGCAGGACGTGAGCTGGCTGGACCCTCTCCCTGCCTGGACCTGACGTGACCGAGCAGTACCCCTCTCCGTGTGCCGAGTTCTTTGGCGTCCTTCAAGGGCGTCGCCTGGTGTCGCTGGGCGTCGCCCCGAGCCTGATTGGGGCTGTCTCTTCCAACCCGAAGGTGCTGGGGGAGACCTCTTCACTGGCGTCCTGTACCGCCACTATTCTCCGCCCCCTGGACACTGCTACGACGTGAACTGCAACGATCCGCCCATCATGGACGACTCGCGGCTCCGGGATTACAATGTCGAGGACAAGGTATTTCGTGCAGGCTGAAGCGCATTCCCCGACGTTGGGTAGCAGCGACGTGGTCATCAGCGTGGGGTTCTCCGGGAAGGCTTCGGTTGCGTTTGCTTGGCTGAGACGATAGGATCATTTGCCTAAGGCAGCTTTAAAAGATGTTTTAAAGCAGGTTCGGCAGCGCAAATGTCTCGCCGAAAATTGACCATGATTTAAGGAAATGTTCCGCATTTGAAATTATGAATATGTTCATTTATAGCCATTGGTATGCTTGAAATGGAAAAGACTGCTGCAGACAGCGCAATTATATATTTAGTACATATGCTGCTCATTACGTCACTGCTTGATTGGATCGTGGAACGTGTGCATGACATCGAAGCGTTTCCAAACCAGTCGCGCGAAATTACCACCCTAGCACTCACAGGTAATACTTCAATCTCCTGAGGGTTGGCCGTGGCGTTAACGGAGGTATTTGCTGAACTAAGTATGGTTATGTGGTCTTGCTTTGGTCATTTTTCGTGTTGGCCTGGCATATTTATCAGTGAATTTAAGATGAGCGTTGTGTTCATATGCTCAGTTATGGCACGCTATTTAAGTCATTCCATCACAAGTCTTATTTCCGTAATGACTAGCAATCATATCCGACTTTTTATAGAACGTACCACAAAGCATGATTCGTGATGGAAACTTGCGCAGTTTGCTCAACATTGATTTGAAGCCAATGAACGACGACCACCAAAATGGGTCTGCCCATCTTCACTCATTCTTCATTCCTTTTAAGTGAGTGCTCCACGTTTGTGTGGGGGTTGGATGCTTGACCCGCGAGTTTTAGAGTTGCGTGGCGTATCGCTAAGGAACTAGAAGCAGACAGAAATATGCGATGACGTTACGAACCCTATTTTCAACTTGTTCTAGCGAAAATAGGGTGCAGACAATAATCTTTAGGAAAAGTGCATCAAAAATATATATGCCCATATTTTTCTAAAATATTGATCAATATAACATTTGAAGTCCACTAGGTACATATGGTGGCTTAATTTGACCTTTGACCTCATTTTCTGAAGAAAAACGTAGTCCTTTTGAGTTTCTTTAAACCGATATGCAATTGAAAGTCATTGAATTGTATGAACTAACGAAACATATCGATTGCATCTCATCTAGTTCGGTTGTGAATTTAATATAAACATTGACGGATCGCACACAGCGGCACAGCATGGGTCGACCGGCCGGCACTGCATGACCGATCACGATCGGCTCACTCTGCTGAGAACTGTGACCTTGACCTTGAGACCATTCATTTAAATACCAACACCAGTTATCAAAGTCTCAAAACTTCGACATCCTTCCGGAACTGTAGGACAGTGTCTGACAAGTGCGTATTAATCGACCTTACGTACCTGTCGTCCCTCAAGAGTCGTGTAGATGATAAAGTGTTGCGCTCAGAGTGCTCACAGCGCATCGATAACCATGGTATGAAGTTAAGCTGGAGCTCAACGTGAGAAGAAACGAACAAATGGTCTGAAGCTGCGTTATTTCTTTTTTCGAATCTGGCCTGGAGCCGGAGCAAGGTCGCCTTTTGTGCCGGCCCAGCACGCCTGGAATCGGACACATGAAATTCAATCCAGCACGCATCTAATTCGACGCCGGCTCCGAATAAACGAGGCCGAGCCCAGGAGAGGGTCAGTGAGTGAATAGTCTCATTGTCGCGGGATCGCAGAAATGAAGACCTGCAGTTTTGCTGCCTTCAGCAAGTGCCTCCAGGGAATGCTGAATGAAAAAATCGATTGAAATTGTGAAAGAAAAACTGAAAAAGACGTTTGCGCGTGTGATGATATTACGGTTAGTGCGGTGCCAGCCATTCGTCATCATCACTAGAAAAATTTGTTAACTTCCTAAGTCTTTGAAGCTATGCCATTGTTGTGTCAAAATGGGGACATCTGTAGAGCCGCTGGACTTCAAGCACAAAACAACGAGCACTAGCTCGCGCAAAATCACCGACAGTTTTCAAGACTACTCGTCTCTAAAGGCTCTGGTAAAAATTGGGGATAGATCGCCCGCGGCTTACTGGAAAAACGCAATCACCCGTGTCTATGCAAGCATGTGGACACATCTCACTGCGAATAAAAATGCATTTTGTTGTGTAACCCATGTAGCTTAACCTTACCGTTCCATTTTCATCCGTGAGCGTACGTCGTAGGTATGTGACAGAGGATCAAATCCGCGGGACGTAGCAACGCTTGGCACGTTGCGTCAAAAACGTCCGAACGCTGAAAGAAACGCACAGCTCCTGTCGTATTAACAACCATGGGTGACACGTATTGGTTGCAGTTACACCAATGATCATAGCTGCTCTGATCATATCTGATCACATCCGAAAGAAGACCCGTGACAGGTGAATGCAGCGCCAAACATTCATTTAAGGAATTAGTGATCTAAGCCTACGTTGCGGTACAAACAACGAAAGGCGTTTATCTGCTGGTTTTGTGTTTTTCGCATAACTTGGCGTGAATAGATGATCAGTGACAGAACCTGCTAAAAACGATGACTTTGGATTTGATGATACCTGGCTGCATACTGGCCGCTGTCATAAGGTGTTAGTTTTAATCTCCGTGCGCGTGACCCGGGATGGATGACAGCTACTCGAGGTCGACAAAATGCATTTTTCATTTGCCGATTTTCCTGAGTTCCGGTTGGTTTAAAGGTCGCGGTCGCAGTGAACCGATCGCGCCCGGTCACCCGATATACCAGCCGGTACCGGTCACCGATACACCGGCCGGTACTGGTCACCGATATACCGGCCGGTACTGGTCACCGATATACCGGCCGGAACCGGTCGCCAATATACCGGCCGGTACTGGTCACCGATATTCCGGCCGGTACCGGTCACCGATATACCGGCCGGTACTGGTCACCGATATACCGGCCGGTACTGGTCACCGATATACCGGCCGGTCGGCTCATGACGAGCTACCGTGCGTGATTGGCCCATGGTCAACTTCGATTTGACACCAGAGGTTCAGGAAAACATTCCGTGACATCTTCAGGAGTGTTGTGGGTGACGCAATACCCAGCCCCACTCGGACAGACCGTGGCGCCGAAAGCTAGACCGTGGCGCTGAAGGCCCCGCTCGGACAGACAGATGTGCCGACGGTCCCGCTCGGACACGCAGAGGTGCCGACGGCACCGCTCGGACAGACCGAGGTGCCGACGGTCCCGCTCGGACAGACAGAGGTGCCGACGGCCCCGCTCGGACAGACAGAGGTGCCAACGGCCCCGCTCGGACGGACAGAGGTGCCGACGGCCCCGCTCGGACAGACAGAGGTGCCAACGGGTCCGCTCGGACAGACTGAGGTGCCGACGGGCCCGCTCGGACGGACAGAGGTGCCGACGGCCCCGCTCGGACAGACAGGGGTGCCGACGGCCCCGCTCGGTGCCGACGGCCCAGCTCGGACAGACCGAGGTGCCGACGGCCCCGCTCGGACAGACAGAGGTGCCGACGGCCCCGCTCGGACACACAGGGGTGCCGACGGCCCCGCTCGGTGCCGACGGCCCCGCTCGGACAGACAGAGGTGCCGACGGCCCCGCTCGGACAGACCGAGGTGCCGACGGCCCCGCTCGGACAGACAGAGGTGCCGACGGCCCCGCTCGGACAGAGAGAGGCGCCGACGGCCCCGCTCGGACAGACCGAGGTGCCGACGGCCCCGCTCGGACAGACAGAGGTGCCGACGGCCCCGCTCGGACAGAGAGAGGTGCCGACGGCCCCGCTTGGACAGACAGAGGTGCCGACGGTCCCGCTCGGACAGAGAGAGGTGCCGACGGCCCCGCTCGGACAGACAGAGGTGCCGACGGCCCCGCTCGGACAGACAGAGGTGCCGACGGCCCCGCTCGGACAGACAGAGGTGCCGACGGCCCCGCTCGGACAGAGAGAGGCGCCGACGCGCACCCAGAGACAAGCCAGACCTGCCAACCCTGGCGTGATGCAGTGCAAGACGAGCAATGACCAGCGAAGTTTTTTCCTGTCCTGCCGCCGGACAATTTTCCTCAGAAAACGGCCATTCAAGTCTTTCTTGTAAGGTACAAGGTTGGAGCAAATGTTGGCACATTCGCTGCAGCACAGCCGAGTGCAACGATGGCCGCAGCAGCCACTTTGTCTCAATCAAATTTCGAGCTACGACCAAGTTTGGCTTGAAAGTCTGTAAATGACGTATGAATGCGACGTATGCAGGAGATATTTACTAAACAGAGAAATTGCGTTGTCTAGAGCAGCTTTTCATCTGGATGCTTGCTTCATTACCTCCAAATGTGGAAAACTCCATTTAAACAGTGTTTTCGGTAAGCAAGGATCCCGCAGCGAACCATTGCGATATTGATTTTCTCGTTGCTGTATGCATTTTCCGAAAATAGTGCTTTAATCTCTACAGTACGTGTTACGGTGCGGATATGAGGCAAGTGCTTGCAACTCTTTTTGCTTGAAATGGCTTAGGATATCGATACTATGCATCTGCAGGTGAACAACTTCATCGACTTCGCGAAGAACAAATCGAAGGCCTACCGAAGTGGTCATATCATGATGACCATGGGCGACGATTTCAACTACCAAGACGCCAATATGTGGTTCAAAAATATGGACAAGTTCATCAAGTAAGTAGGCTTGTGCATGCCTACCTGCAAAGGAATCATTCCGCCTTTGAACCAAAGCGTTTGACCAGAGCATTTCAGCACAGAAACAACAGCAAAGTAGTTTGTGAGGCATGCGGGAGCAAACTACATCTATGGATGATAAACGGTAATTCCGTGCATAATTTGCAACCGCCTCTTGTTATGTTCAGCCTGTGTCCGTAACATTCAAGGCTTATAGCGTATGAAGGAAGATGGCGATAAAACATATCGCAGATACTGAACTCTCAGAGCAGTATTGGGAGGCAGGCCATGAAACCTCACCAGTGGGCTCCGTGTCTCCATTCAGCTCTGTCTGCCATTTTCTGTGCAGTTGTTTGTGCAGTTGTTTGACAAAGGCCAACTGTTCCTTGGTGTCGTTTGCGCTTTGGTGGACCCAAACCCCGAAAGCATTGTTTTGTGACGTGGTCCCTCCTACACATGTGAGTTGACTAATTGTCCTCCCCATCTCTCCGTTGCTTATCTGTTTCTACGCATTTTTTATTCTTTCTCATAACATGGGAGTAATACGATTCCAGTCAAATCTATATATTCATATAGGAGGCAATTACAAAAAGAGAAGACAAATAACACATTGTGCAGCATTTCACGAGGTCATATAATAGATGCCCGTGTACTGACCACAAATGGGGATTTCGTCGCCTTTTTGCAAAAGCAAACGCGTACCTTCCTTTCGTGGGTACAAGGTGGCTGTTAAGTGGCGTTTACCAGTGTACAAATCCATCTTACCTCCAAGTTTACTAAACCATTTTGACCAGGACTTCCTCTTACCCTCGCCCTCGTTACGCCATGTCTTCTGCCCGTGTTGTGCTGTTCAGCGTCCCCTTCAGTCGTGTTTGTTTTATATCGATGTCCCCTCAAGTGAATTGACTAGTCATGCAGGCTGCAGGTACAAAATAAAACATCTTTTCAGATGTACAGTTCTTATTTTTCACTTGCTGATGGCCGAAACTCTGACTAAAACTAAGCAGCCTCCTTGCGAATGTGTAGCGAATTAATGTCAGCACTCAACCCTAACTCTAATAACGGCATGATCATTTTCCTCTTCTGCGTCCTACAGTCGTCTCCGTTTATGATAATTGGCGAAGTTAACACCACATTGATTCATTAGCGTAAGGCCTTGCCCCGGTTTGTCCTGTCCGCGGCCTGGGCATTGCAACATGCCGTAAACGTTCATATATCGTTGGCATAGCTGCACATAAATCTTAACGACTAGTTCTGACACCCATCCTTTTGTAAGCAACGCCCTGGGATTATTCAGGTACGTCAACGCGCGTCAAAGCGACGGTGAGACAGTGAACCTGATGTACTCCACGCCCTCCTGCTACCTGAAGGCTCTGCACGACAGTGGACTCGTCTGGCCCACCTTTCAGGTCAGATTACTGTCGTCCAATTCAAGTCGATCATCTCTGGCACGAGGTCAGGTCGGGTTTTTGACCCGGAGCCAGTCCAGTAAGCCCGTTGTCGTAGTAGGCATGACACTTAAACTTCAACTCTGCTGTCCGAAAGCCTTTCTTAAAGTATCGTAGACCGAAAAGCGAATACAAGAGGACAATGCATGCAACGTTGATTGATACATTGAACCATAAGTCGAGATAGTTTTATCGCGCGCTTCGATTTCTTCATGCCAGGACGACTTCATGCCGTATGCCAGTGATCCGTGGGCTTACTGGAGTGGCTACTTCACCTCACGGCCCGCGCAGAAGGGCTACATCCGCAAGTCCAACAACTTCCTCCAGGTACAGTGGTGGTAAAGTGTATGGATTCTCGAATAAATTAAGCATTTTCAGGCTTTTGACAATATACGAACAGAAACCAAAATCAGTTTTCAATGGAAGCATTTAGTTGAAAATGGTGTAGACGCGTTTGTACGCTCGTGCTCAAGATTGGCCGGCCCATCATCCTATAGCTGGCCTGAAGACAATCACACGGTTTTTGTGTGGTCCAGGATATGTCCACTGCCGTATCGCCCATGATAACGCCCATCAGCGCACCTTACCAAAAGGCATGTCAACTTGTACATGATTCGGGTACACGTGATGGTCGCCGTTCAAATGGCACATCGGGGCAAGCATGACTTGTGGCTGTGATCCTTTGAGCCGATAGCCCATATCGCGTGGATTTCGATCCAAAGCAAGCCATCCTTTCCAGATAAGACTTCGCGGGAAAAGGGGCGCAGTCAGAGCCTTGGCAAAGGGGGAGCAGAGGGTTGGCAAGAGGCTCCCTGATAGTGAAAGGATGAACGCGGAGGGAATCGAACTCCGTACCTGTGGTTTCACGGACGCGCAGTGGTTAACGCTGGGGCGTACACCACCACGCCATCGGCGCCCGGCGTGCAGGCTCAAACCTTTTGATGATATTTGTTTCACTAGTCGATTCCGCAGAATAATGAACGGTACCAGGGAAACATGGGATGGCCCTGTGCGCTTTGAGTTCATCTCGACACGCTGTTCTCAACACTAGTGGTAATTCTTTTCTTTCAGGTAAAGGCTCGGCGCTGAAGGGCCATCCTGCTCATCCACAGTGCATTTTCTTGCCGTCATTCTGGTGACACGGGGAGGCATCCCCTGGCCGATCCGGAGACCCTTAGAGGGATACGTCATATCACCTTGGTCCGCTCCCTGACGCGGAGGACCTTCTGACCCGCGCAGTTGGCCCCATATCGACGCAGGAACCCTCACTGACGCAACAACATCCTTGCTCTCCGCATGTGGTTAAATAATTGGTGCATAGACACCAGTTACCAGATTAACGTGCCCATGCTGGATTAGGGCTGGAGAGCCCACCGTTGGATACTGGGGCCCTGACTGGCACAGGACTCTTCTATTACCTCAACGTGAACAGTCGTCATAAGTCCTTATATTTCCTTCAACTGTCAGAGCGTCCCCACCAACGCAAGAGAACCCCTGGCATTTGGGCTCACGTCCCGTCCCCGCTGAGCAAATCTTCCCTTGACGGATTCGAGGCTCCTTGTCGATACAGAGTGCCCTGTTAGGCACTGCGGACCACTGAACGATAACGAGCCCGAACAATATCAATCACGGACGCGGCCTTTTTCCTGCTTGGGAAATGGACACCCAGACACAAGTTCCCGACCAGTGTAAATCCCTGACCCCGGCTTCATAGCTGGTCGGGAAGCAGGTCCTCAGGCCCATACCGACGGCGCGCCGCCGGTGTGGTACCCCGGTACCTGACCGATGCGTAGGCTGGTATCAACTTACGGGCTCCCCGATCGGTGCAGAATGCCCTCTGACCGTTATTTGAGGGTCTGTCTTCGCAGGTACGGGGCCCCTGAATAAGACTCAGACCGCCCGTTTATGCCCTTAGGCCCTCCAATCATGTCCTTGATCGTCGGACCCAGTGGGCCCTCTAGGTTCTTCAGGCCTCCTCGAACACTGGCTCTGGCCAACTTGGGGCACCTTGACAGCACAGGGTCCCTGTGGGTCCCAGCACAGGGCCGCCAACCGTGGGCCCCGAGCAATGCAAATCACTAACTCCGTATTTGTCCTGCTTGGGAAATGGGCCTTTACGACCGTGCCGCCACGGAACCGACTGTGCGCTACTGGTGGTGTCTGACCGAAATATAGGCCCTCATGGACTCAGTGGACCTCTAATCAGCGCACAGGACCTTCTGGCTGGCATTGGAGTGCCGGGCCCTGCAAGCTGGGGGCCATGAGTGGGACCTCCAGCTGGCCTTTTGGGCCCTTTGGGCCGTCTAATCGGGCCGTTAATTGAAAGGTTGCGAGGGGCCCTTCGGGCTCCCCGGAACCTGGGAGAGGGGAACACGTACCCCCCCCCCCCCCCTGTGCCCCCCTCCCTGCGCAACTGCGCAGTAATGACGTCACACGGCCCCACAAAGCCCGCCCACTGGCGCCTCTGCCAGCCGGCCGCGCGCCACACCCACCACGAAGTTTTTGATGTCCATGTCGTAGAGACTCCTGGCGAGCAGTTCGCACGCCTCGCGCTGCGTCCAGCGGCCGGCCGACTGGACCAAGACCCAGCGCGCGTGGCGTCAACCGATCGTGCACCAGTGCGGTATCGTTCGGAGCTGGACTCGGACGGTTGGACGGAGTCTGTCTAATCGATGCGTCTGTGTCATCCGTGTGTGATCGTGCTCTAGATCGTGCTCCAGTTCGGAGCTGGACTCGGACGGTCGGACAGAGTCTATCTTATCAATACCACTGTGTCATCCGTGTGTGTTCGTGCTCCAGATCGTGCTCCAGTTCGGAGCTGGACTCGGACGGTCGGACGGAGTCTGTCTTATCAATACGTCTGTGTCATCCGTGTGTGTTCGTGCTCCAGATTGTGCTCCAGTGCGGTATCGCTCGGAGCTGGACTCGGACGGTCGGACGGAGTCTGTCTAATCAATACCACTGTGTCATCCGTGTGTGTTCGTGCTCCAGATCGTGCTCCAGTTCGGAGCTGGACTCGGACGGCCGGACGGAGTCTGTCTAATCAATGCGTCTGTGTCATCCGTGTGTGATCGTGCTCCAGATCGTGCTCCAGTGCGGTATCGCTCTGAGCTGGACTCGGACGGTCGGACGGAGTCTGTCTAATCAATACCACTGTGTCATCCGTGTGTGTTCGTGCTCCAGATCGTGCTCCAGTTCGGAGCTGGACTCGGACGGTCGGACGGAGTCTATCTAATCAATACCACTGTGTCATCCGTGTGTGTTCGTGCTCCAGATCGTGCTCCAGTTCGGAGCTGGACTCGGACGGTCGGACGGAGTCTATCTAATCAATTCCACTGTGTCATCCGTGTCTGTTGACTCAGGTCTGCAAGCAGCTTTCGGCGATGTTCCAAACGGAGGACACCACGGCGAAACCCAGCCGCGTAGACCTGCTGCGGAACGCCATGGGAATCAACCAGCACCACGACGCCGTTACAGGTGACGCTGCTGTTACCGGTCCGGACAGGCTATCCTATACATGGCCGATGCCGGTGGCTATGCAAGCGTACGTTATTTGGTTGATTATATATATATATATATATATATATATATATATATATATATATACATATATATGCAGATATATGTATATATGCAAAATACCTGTTAAATATATGAACATGGCCGTACGGAATAACTGTCATTATCCTGCATTGGGCTGCTGCAAACCTGAGTTTTCGGTTGGAGTTGATTTCACTCTCAATGAAGACGTTTACCGAGCACAAGATGCGCTAAGTCGGTACCGGAACTAATCTGGACACGATTGTAGCCCTTATTGTCGCCCTTCCATCACAAGATACGCCATGCGTGAACCGCCCCTCGTGGGGTGTCAATCGAACGCACAGACATCCGGTCACTGTTCTCACGGACAGCTCACTCTCCTCCCGCGGTACATACCATCACTTCCTTGCGGGATGGCTTCACACGGACTTCCGCGCGCTCCGTCCATTTACCAGGCGCCCGGTCCCCCCGCCCCGGCAGAGTTCCAAGAGGAGCGGAAGGTCTGTCGAACCGCGACCGGAGCGTGCTCGAGAGGAGGCCATCGCTTGATTACACTGGTAATTTTTGACGGCAATCAGCAGATCGCTGCGACACAGCTTTAGCAGTCCCCCTGAACGCTCGAAAGGATCACTCAGTGACAAAGAAGAACAACTTGTTGTGGCGCATTTCTCCATCACAAGTCAAGGTGTGTTAATGTCCGTCCTGAGACCAAAGCTCGTGGAAGTGGTGACAGCGAAAATGCGGATCCATTCAGACTGGCCACTGCTGGATTCAGCTGGGTCACGCTCTCTTGACATGTCACCATTGCGTGGTGGGGGTGGTGGCGGTCTCTGCCTATCATAGTCAACCTCGTAATAATTATCGACATCATCACCATCATTCCTTCATCATTCCTTCACCATTGCTTCTTCCCGAGGAAACTGGTTTTGAACTTCGCTGCATGACAGGGTAGAGGAGGGCTTAACTTGTTCATGGTCATAATGTTGACGAAGGCGGTCGTGATGATGTTGCAGGCACTGAGAAGCAACACGTCGCAGATGACTATGTCCAGCGATTGAGCGAGGCCACGGAGTCCTGCCGGGGGGCCGTCAACGACGCTCTGGTGTGAGTTACTTCATTGCAATCGGACTCAGGAGAGTGCAGTTCTCAAGCATTCACACCATAGGTCATATCTATACACTTGGAAGGCAAAAACACCAGCGCCCATGCTTTGTATTAGGAACCCTATTATGTCTTGCCCACTTCATGCTATACGCTGCTGACAGGAACTATGAAAGGATCATCTTGCAAATGACGTGCAGTTAACGTTTCCAGTGAATGACCCACGCATTATATTTTGGATGGCGAGCGAAAACCCCACTGTGCCATTGCATACCAGTTTTCAGACGTGTTTTTGTTTCCATTTACAGCCGCACGGGGCTGCCTGTTTGTTTTATTTACATCCGCGCGGGGCTGCCTGTTTACTCCAGTTACAGCCGCGCGGTGCTGCCTGTTTGTTTTATTCACATCCGCGCGGGGCTGCCTGTTTACTCCAGTTACAGCCGCGCGGGGCTGCCTGTTTGTTTTATTTACAGCCGCGCGGTGCTGCCTGTTTGTTTTATTTACAGCCGCGCGGTGCTGCCTGTTCGTTTTATTTACAGCCGGGTGGTGCTGCTTGCTTGTTTTATTTACAGCCGCGCGGGGCTGCCTGTTTGTTTTATTTACAGCCGGGCGGGCCTGCCGCCGCAGACGTTCTGCAATCAGCTGAACACGTCCACGTGTCACGTAACCGAGCGGAGCAGCAAGTTCGTGGCGTACGTGTACAACCCGCTGTCACGGAGCGTCAGCCCCTGGGTTCGAATCCCGGTGGCCGGACAGTCTGCCATCGTGGTGAACGAGCAAGGTCCGTGAGTCTGAGGCCGACAGGTGCAAACCATTTGGCACCAATGGCGGGGTGTTTCTCACTCGAAGGTGATGTAATACTTTCATGGGTTGAATGCCATGTTTATACTTTCTCAGCTTTTGAATGCAAAATTTTCTATCAGCTTGTCACGTAGCATAAATTATTGCGCCACTTTATCTGGTTCGCCGCTACATGCACTTAAGACAAATTTTCTTTCGGAACCATAGCTGACTGCACATGCCTGCCCTTGTCACATATACAATGAAAAATGGGTACATGTCATCACACAGATACCATATGAGCATCAGCTGCTACCAATGCGACCTCGCCGCATGCGGACATCTAGAGAATGGAGCTCAGGGCCTGATCCCGGAGCCGCGTGTTTTGGCAGGCGCGACCATTGACAGCGAGCTCATCCCCATTCCGGCCGAGGTCCAGGACCTCCCTGGCCGGGATTCGACAGCCAACGTTGAACTTGTGTTCCAGGCCTCTGCGCTACCGCCTCTCGGCTTCAAGTGAGTGTTGAGCGATCGGCTAGCTGTCCCCAGGCGTTTGTTCGAAATGCTGCAGATGACACGGGGTTGCTGATATTTACGTGCCGTTACCGGTCCATGGAAGACTTTTGGATGCATGAGATTACGAATGATATGGCTCATTTGTTGACGAGGGCTTGACGATACGCGGTTAATCCTGACAAGTGTGTTATTTTGGTGCTGTCACATCTGGGTCATCTCGATAACAAAACATGAACTGCTGAACAATGAAAACCAACACTAGCCGTCCTTCCTTAGGGCTTACTACGTTCGGGTGTTTTCGTATGGGACCGCCTCTCAGCACGCCTCAGAGCGTCCCGGTCTGCAAACGCTCTCAAATGGTCACGTGACACTCGACCTTGACCCCAAGACCCTCCGGCTCGGCAGGATGCGCGCTGGAAATGCTGATGTCAAGGTATGCTGGCTTTTAGAGGGAATATTCCACATTTGAAGATACTGAAACAAGCATCAGATATCATAAAATAAGGTCACTCACAGCTATTGATGTACCTTTAAGTAGAAAAGGATGCTCTGGACCACCCAATTTCTCTATTTAGTTAATATGCTCCTCCTTACGTCACTGTTTGGTTACGTCACTGTACCTTGCATGACATTGCTTGACAGCCAATTAACGGCTGTTATATCTGGAAATCGTGCTCACGAACGCCAGATGTGAACGAGGAGACAATGATATTTTCTTGGCCTTGATCACCTCATAGATAATTGAGTGACAGGATTTCAATGTCATGATGACATAGACACCTGGGTGACCTTGAAATAATCTCACTGAAATCGTCTGCACATCTTCGGTGGCGTGTAGCCCAGAAACTAGAGGGGTTTAGGTCTTAAGAAGGGCAAGGCTGCGCACTGCACCGAATGAACTTGAAGATGGCTATTTCAGTTCTACAAACGTAGAACACTCCCTTTAAGAGAAAGCAGGTGCATGCATGCGTTTAGTGATAACAGCTGCATTTATGAAATGTGGTTTAGAGATATACCACGTATTTGATATCATGCCAGTTACGGATGCTGGACACCTTTGATCGGCATGACGTTTTTCAACTTGATTTTAGGTCGAACATTGCCATGCCCACAAAATTTAAACGAATACTAATTCCTTTGGAGAAAATGCATGACGTAATGTCTTCTTTGTCCACCGTTTGATCAGCCAGCTCGAAGTATGTCCCAATAATTTGAGATGGTGGTTGTCAGTCGCATTTACTTAGCGAGGAATTGATTTCATTGCGATCCATGCCAAGACGTCCTTTTTAAATCTTAGTTAAAATGACAGATTTTGTTAGATGTTATACGCGTATACACACTTACGGTGGAGCGCTTTCAGTATGTTCACTCAAGACAAAGCATTTCTTTGATGACAGGTGGATCAGAACTTCATGTGGTACGAGGGGTATGGCAGCCCCAACAACACACCGTGGCAGCCGCAGCACAGACCCAGTGGGGCCTACGTCTTCCACCCGAAAGGAAGGGCTAAGCCAATGAAGGCAACGGTAAGCGAAGAGCTAAACGGGAATAACGAGCGAAATAAGCAACGTTGATTGGCGGTATGTGAAGCAGGCTATTCAGTTAGAAGCGAGGAAGCATGCCGGGAAATCGGGACTCGTTCGGGCGATCACAGCCGCGTCGTTGTTATTTTGAGTGTCGTACGTTTATCAACTGCATTAGCTGAGGCACATCGAAGTAATTATCAGCAACCCTGGCGTGAACGTAGTTGCTTTCAAGTCCACGTCTATACCAAAGCGCGTATTACAACATTTGGCCGCCCCATCGAAGTTTGTAGTTGCCATTCCCGACTTTGAAATAAAGGGTTGAACCAAATACGCAGTGCCCTCACCTCTAAAGTTAGCGTTGAACAGCTAGCACATCATCCGTTTGTTTTCAGTCAGTGGTGACGCTGGACGGAGCTCTGGTGAAGGAGTACCGACACACGTTCGACATGGACTGGGTCTCCCAGGTGACCCGGCTCTACAAGGACGAGCCCTTCGCTGAGGTCGAGTGGATGGTCGGGCCCATTCCCATCGAGTGAGTCGGCCGTGGGTGGCCAGCGGAGTGCCGTGCCGCGTGGGTGTCGTACTGGCGCGCTGATGTTATCGTGCCTTTGTGCGTGCATTTACGTGCATTGCATATGCATCTACGTATTTTACGTGTACGTTCAAACGGCATGTGGAAAGCTTCCCAGATTGAATTAGATTGCCCATGAGCTGCACGTCCCATCCATGAATAAGCCGTAGGTAATCAAACGTACAGCAGAGCGTAAAATATCACCTCGGCTTTTAGCAACGTCCACCACACATAGCACAGTGTTGTCCCCGTTTGTCATGACATTCCCGTCGCGCAGTGTCGTCCCCGCTTGTCATGACATTCCCGTCGCGCAGATTCCACTCAGGAGCATGTTGAAGCGCACAGCCACTAGATTTTCTTCTCAAAACGTGTTGCTATTTGGTGATATTTCTATTCCTTTGTCAGGGACGGCGTCGCCAAGGAGGTGATCAGCCGCTTCAGCAGCGCCATCAACTCTACCGGCACCTTCTACACAGACTCCAACGGACGCCAGATGATGAAGCGTAAGAGAAACCGGTGCTGTAGGCTGGTTACTTACAGTTATAACGCAATTTTAAGCATAGATCTCCAGTCTTGCCGGGGGCTCTGGGACGATGTGGTACAGCATGACAGACTTATTATTGGTTTGGTCCCACACGTGTCTCCCGGTAAAGGCTGTTAAGCTGGTTTTTACTTCTTAATGATTGTGTGAAACAGCTATAACATAATTATAGGTTATGGACAAACATGGGTTGGAAAGATTGACTGCATGTTGAGCCAGTTCTCGTCGTTACCCACTCCGTCTCCCCTAGTGGGGCCCGTACAGCATCGTTTCTTTTTCATTGACCCAGGTCGTCGTGACCACCGTGATGCGTGGACCCTGAATGTCACGGAGCCGGTGGCCGGAAACTACTTCCCGGTTAACTCACGGATCTTCATCAAAGACGCCGACAGCCAGCTGACCGTACTTACCGATCGGTCACAAGGTGGCAGCAGTCTCGCCAGTGGCCAGCTGGAACTGATGGTATGTGTCGGAATCTCGACGATCCTTGGACTTGTAGTGCACCCTGTATAGCGCGATGTATGGTTTGTTTCGACTAGCGATATGTGAGCCGAGCGCCGGGCTCCTGGTATTGGAGTGAGATGATAGACTCGGTCGGACCGATGTTGACGTGATATTTCACTCTAATGTCCGTGGAACGAATACAATTTTATGATATTTCACTATACCCACAGGTCCTGACGGGGTATTTTGTAAAATAATTGATGAAATGTCTTCACTTTGCATGGGCTTTGAAACCAACTCTATTGGATTCCAATTGTATGTGCTATAGACGCTGATGGCGTTATCAACGTGGTGTGCAATAAAGATGGTGAACAATATAAGTGGTATTACTCTCATATCTACCGCGAGTGGGAATGTACCGACTCTCGTCCATCTCCACATGTCATTCGGCATCGCCTTCCCCATCTTCACCACCATCGCCTGTTGCCTCAGCTGCACCGCCGCACGGTGCAGGACGACGCGTTCGGCGTGGGCGAGCCGCTGAACGAGACCGAGTTCGGCGTGGGTCTGGTGGTGCGCGGTCGTCACTGGGTGGTGGTCAGCGACCCGGCCGACGCCCCCAAGCTACATCGCGACCTCGCCGAACAGATGTTCATGGCGCCCCAGCTGAGCTTTGCTCCAGCGCCAATGATGACCATGATGCAGTGGCTCAGCAGTACCACTGTCAAACAGGTGCGACGGATGACCGGTCTTTCAACTTTGTTTTGGCATTTGCTAGTTGTCTGATCACTATCCCCACTGTTAAGAACCTCGTGACTTCCCCTACTCTCGTCATGTTTTCCAGATGCATGTTGAAAAGCATCTCGTGATTTCAGACCCCTTGCTGCTGAAAAGTGAAAGAGGCTCAAGCTCTTTAGAGGAATTTGCGCGTAGTCAGTGTGGTCGTTTCACTGGTCAGTGTGCGCAGGTGGGCCAATGTCCCCTGTGGTGTCCCAGTTCTGTGTGCCGCAGTTCACAGGCATGGCAGCCTGGTGTCTCCAGTTCAGTTCCAGCTCTGTGTGCTACAGTTCACAGGCATGCGGCCGCTGCCTGCCAACGTGCACCTGCTGACGCTGGAGATGTACAAGCCGAACCAGCTGCTGATCCGACTGGAGCATCAATTCCAGGCCGACGAGGATCCCGTGCTCAGCAAACCTGTCGACGTTAACCTCAAGGTCAGCTGGCTGTGTGCATGTCGTGATCCTTGTCATCATTTGTGACGTGCAAGGACAGGATAATTAGTTTGCATTAATGCACGTACACACAAAGTGACCTGTTGATGGATGTATTGCTGGGAGTTGTGGCTGTTTTCATTACAACTACCAACGCATGCAACTGTGATGTCAGCATCCGCACACTTAAAGGGAATGTCCCACGTTTAAATATCTTGGAGCAGACATCGAGCAGACAGACAGAGCAGATGATGAAATAAGCTATTGGTACCGGTTTTAGTGGAAAAGGCTGCTCTAGACAACCAAATTGCTCTATTTACTTAGTATTCCCAATGCGTCATTGCTTGATTACGTATTAGACCGTTTGTATGACGTTGAGGTGCTGCCAGACTGGCTGTGCGAATTCGCCACCCAAGCACTCACTTGCAGTACTTGGATTTCCCGAAAGGTGGCCGTGGCGGTGCGGGAGGTATTTCCTGAACCAAATATGGCTATATGCTCGTGTTTTTGCCCTCTCTCGTAGGGTTCTTGCATGTTTATCTGTGAGTGTAAGGTGCTTACTTTTATTCGCAGACTTCGTTATGGGCTTTTCTTATGTCATTTGATTACAAGTACTGTTTCTGTTATACCTTATACCCACCTCCAGCTCCTTGTATAAGGTACCACAAAACTGTTCACCAAAGAAAATCACGCGATTCGTGGCTGAAACTTACGCAGCCTGCACAGCATTGATTCGGAGCCAAATGACGGCCGTTATTATGGAAATCGTGTCCATGAACGCCAGTTATGAACGACTCGACGGAGATATTCTTGTTGACATTGAACGCCGAATGGCCACTGAAATGGCGGCATTTGAATGACGTTTGTATGGCGATATACATGCCGGAATGATCTTGAAATAGTTTCCACGAAGTAGACTGCGTATCTTCGCGGGTGTGTAGCTTAGAAAATAGAGGTTTTAGGTCTTAAGAGAGACAGGGCTCTGATCTGCACCAAATGGTCTTCAGGATGGCTATTTCGGTTTAAAACCCTAGGTGGTGTAAAACCCAAAACACTTGTCGAACACTCCCTTTAACTGCAGGCTGGCGCCATTGCAAAGTCCGAAAGGTGTGAATAAGAAAGCTGTCATGACCTTGAGGCTAATGCATTTAATTTACCGGGCACTTTCGCTCCCACTGCAGCAAGCCCACGTGTTCCGTTCAGATATATTATGGCCTGTGGCAGGATCTGTTCACCACCCTGAACGTGACGTCAGTGGAGGAGTTCGGCCTGTCGGCTGACAGGCCTCTGAAGGACATCAACCGCTTCCACTGGGATCACATGCGGTCCAACCGGCTGCCCACGAGCTTCCGAAGCCCTGCATCTTGGGCGGACCGCGGCAAAAACGGCGAAAACGACCTGCTCACGGTACGTTCAGAACGACTTGCTGACGTTGCGCGCAAACTGACCCGCCTAAAGTACGTCAAGAATGGCCTGCTGACGTTAGTGACCGGTGACCTCTTTTGGTGAGCCAATGGCGGATAATGGCTGGTCGGGCCAAAAGCCTCAGCTTGTTTTGCTCTCCAGACTCCTGATAAAGGCTCAACGTGTCACTTCAGATCATGCGTGGTAAACGATATGTCAAAAAATAAACACACTGAACACGTTTCATTTCAGATAAGCAGTCTTCTACATATTTTGTTTATGTGCATTTTTTATCTCTCCGGGTAAATGACATTCTTGATGCCATCGTTGTTGCAGGTGACGCTGAACCCAATGGAGATCCGCACGTTTGTGGCATCGTACCAGAGCCCGTGAACCCCGGTGAACCCCCTTGAGCCTGCGCTGATCCATTGAACCAGGCTTCTGAGTGACCTGAGAACAAGTCACCGCCTGATAAAAGGTCCTGAGCCGCCGTGGACCTGATGTTTGTGTTTGAATTGTCGCCTTTTGCAAGTCATAATTACAATTACAATTATAAACACACCGTTTAAAGCAATGTTCTGTGTTTCTGCAAGGCCGGGGACCTGCTGGTTGTGTTTGAACTGTCGCATTTTGCAAGTTATAAAGGGGATAACCGTAACCGTAACCGTTTAAAGCGATGTTCTGTGTTTCTGAAAGGCCGGGGACCTGCAGTTTGTGTTTTGTTGGGCTGCGGATGCAACTTGTAATAAGCATAGCCTTGTATATATATATATATATATATATATATATATATATATATATATATATATATAAACGTATACACGCTTTACGCACTGTTTCTGACAATGAAATCATGTGCCCTCTCGGAAAGTTTTCAAGAAAGCAGCCTCCAAATAAAGATTGTGCAACATTTTTGCATTTGTGCGTTTTGTATTAAGTACGTGGCGTCCATGTACCCACGTGTTTTGCTCTATCGCCTTATCGCTGTAATTCCTCCCCTCAGATGCTGCTCTGCAAGATATAGATAACAATATCTGTATTTTGCACTCGCGATGGTGGTTTAAGTAGACACATATTTCGCTTTGCTGTCATTTTTGCCGTGGGACCATATGTTTTGAAAATTTAGTGTACCTCTTGTGGTGTCAATAAATTCTGAAGGAAGCAGTCAAGTGCGCAAACATGGTATAATGCAAGTGCCTCAGCTTAAAACCAATTTGCGTCAGTTTACTTCAGTACATTTGTCTCAACTAAGCGTCTGGATGAGAGCAAGTGCTGACGCGACTTGGCAACATGGCGGCGAATGCAGTTAATTCACTGTGGCACGAGCTGCACATAGGGACGTCAAAACCATACGCACTTCAGTGCTCATCTTATTCATTTTTCTCAATGATTAGTGACAAATTTGTGCGTGATTATCTTGTTGCATCGACGTTTCTCATATTTCTAGCAAAGAGAAGCATTCCGGTTTGGTCATGGATGCCACTACGACACTTTCTCCGTCTCACTGATGAAGAGCTTTAAGATGTTCAGAGAACAAAAACAAAGGACGCGTTATGCCTCATTCAGCTGATGGCACTTTTGGCAAGAAGCTCAGTTCAATAGCGCTTCGGTCGTTGTGTGTGCGTTATGTTCTTGTCTGTATACTATTGAGATTCTCCAAAGATGTATCCTATTTGCGCTCCAGGCAGCAACTTACTTTTTCCCGTGATAACCCGAACACCCACCTGAACCAACTGGAATCAGACTCGAGTTGCCATCCTTGCATTCACTGAAAACGTGCTTTAAGGGGTAGAGTTTGAAGCTCCTCTCGAATTGATCACAGAAACGTCAGCAGACGTCTTATCTGGTTTTCTTTCGGGTCAGCGGCGGTCACTGAGCTGAAATGGCTTATGTCAACCGATTTTTTCCGACTGGTGTGGCACCGCCGCTCAAACCTGCGTGACCTAAAAGGACATCAACAAAATTTGACTTAGAACAGGTGCCTAGGGTTACTGTGGTTGCATGAGGAGGTTTGGAGCACTTCGGAGGTCAATCTGGAGTTTCACTTTATTTGCCCCAAAGTTCAAGGGGTATTTTGACCAAGTCTATCTCAAACTTTGGCATAATTTGGTTCATACATAGGCCTTCCTACGCTGTGAACTTATCATTTCTTGATCTCTCGTTTTGTTCTATCTCAGGAATCATGATGACCCCTTCCCCTACCGAGCGCGTCACAATCAACCGGCCGCCCGTGCGCGTGTTAAATTGTCGCCGATCTGAGGCGCGCGTAAATGACCATGGAATGAATGTATACCATGTTTTGCAAGACATCTTAATTTAATGTGGGCTAACTCTCCCTCAGCATTACAAAGAAGCAAAAGACCAACCTAAAAAATTAGTTTTGCTGAAATGCGTGAGATTACGCACCACTAAATAGCATTTTTTTCTGCGCACGGTGATGCACTTCTTCTTTGCATTTTGAAAGATCCTTATCAACCCTAATCTGTGAATTTCCTAGAAGTCATGAAAACGCAGTTAAACATTTCAACATATAATGACCACAGGATTCCACATGCAACTCAAACTTTCCCGTATTTTTGCCGCAAAAAAATGTATGTCAAGTGTAATTGTAAAGCTATGCAGGTACAACAGCAACGTTATTAGTAATGGTTGCATCTTCTATCCGAGTTGAAATGTTCATGGCTGGTTTTTAAGTCACAGGTGATGCCAAAACCCTGCTTTTATTAAGCTGAGGTCAACTGAAATTATGCTGATCACATTCGTGATGTGACGAAACGAGTTGCGGAGGGCTCACCTTCCAGAACAAGGATTGGTATATGTCTAGCCGAAGAGGGCCATTCGGCTGCTTCCTTGGCAGCGTCAGCCTGTCACAGGGCGCCGAGAGTAGTGCAAGTGCATAGCAACGTCCTTTCGTCCTTCCCGTCGTCTTTTCGTGCTGCTCCGACAAGAGTCCGATGCAGAATGGGTCTGTTAAATCTGTATTACAATCATGCTTGGCATGAAAGTCTCCATGAGACCAGTGAACTAGTGGCGTCAGTATCATGTGGAGGTTGCGGGAATAAATGTGAGGGGTTATGTTTGGTGGCAAACAAAAACGTCCTACACAAAATGGTTCACCCCGTCATCCAAAGTTACCCATGATTTGAGGAAGTTATTTTAAGATTAAAGGGATTAAGTTGCCCTGCTGCTTCCTCCATGTCGACGGCATCACGCAAAGAGATCAAAGGAAATAGTTGGTGTGTGATAGTCATCTTTTACCTACACATTTTATAGCATTCCAGCCAAGAACACGGGGGGTAAGCCAACATTGGGGGTCTAGCTCAACATTGAGGAGCCAGCGCCCTCACAAAAGGAAACAGCTTGGCACCCGTTATACCAACAGTTATAAGTGAGCTTGTTTCATCATATCTGATGCCTTCTTCAACGCCTTTAAATGCAAAGCCTCTTAGATATCAGGTTTCAGAAGAAAGTGCGTTGCCCAGCGAGGAGACTGAACGACATCACCAGCCAGTCGCGGGTTACCCCCCCCCCCCCCAAACAAGGAAAAACAGCTGCCGGTTACATCGCCTGAAATACGATCTCGGCGACCGGAGTCCGTTGTTGTGCGCTTGCAGTACAAGTCTATAGTCGGATTTTTCCGGCGTTTGCCGCCCTCGGCCCACTTTGCACGTAGAGTTGTCATTGCAAACAGTTGTCGATTTGCAGACCATGCAGGGCCTCTCGCGGTATTCCAGCATGTATTCTTGACCCGTTGCCCAGTCCATTTCCAGTTCATACGGGCTGCATACCTACGGTGACTGCTGCCGCTACATGACGTCATAGAGCGCGATATTTTTAGCTGCGGACGGCGTGGGCCGGACGAATATGCTGGCTTATCAAATGCTGATGTGAAAATACAAGTAAAAATATTCAGTGAAAAAGCTCAAGGATCATCCTAGAAACATTGCAGCGACCACTGGCATTGAAGAGCGTCGCGCTGCAAGAGGTTTGTCTGTCTTGTAAAAGTCACTTGAGTGTGACCAGTTGTAGAATTAGCAGCACAGCTGTCTGCATAATCGCAGCTGGGCCTCGTTCCAGCCGCGTGTGCGCCCATCCCTAACCCGGAGCATAACACTAAAAAATCAACCCACCGGCCGGGTCGATCCCGTGGCCTTGGTGCAACAGCTTCAGCTTTCACTTCTGTCTAAAAGCTGCAAGCATCGTATGAGGCCTCAGTTGGTTTGGTGACAGAGATGTATCGTTGGATACTTTAGGGAGGGGGTGGGCTGCCATGATTGATCATTATCGCTATCACATTGGCTTTAAATAATAAGTCATTTCTTGGCATCCCTGGCATGCGTTACCATGCCTGTCATGTGACACTTTTCATGTCTTTGAAATGTCATGCTTTGGAACGAGTCTGCAAAATAATGGCATCCAAGGTATGGAACTAGAGGAGTTTGACCTAGAGCTGGACCCTGATCTTTGGCCTGGAAAAAGTCGGGAAACCGGGCAAGTACTATGCTTGAACCTTTTTGTTATGAACCATCTCATGAGAACAGCAGCCCCATCGAACAATTTCGGAGTTGAGGGGCCCAGCTCGAACTGAGCATGGCGCCTTGAGAGCGTGGTATTTTCGAAGGCAGCGATTGCAGCTGCATGCGCTTGGAACAATGAAAGGAGCAGCTCTTTAAGAACGGTGATATGAACATTCTGAGGCATTTGCTTAAAAGCTGCCTGACCAGCCGTGATATTCTTGAATACCTGTATTAAAATTTGGACAAACTATGGTCTTTCACGCTTGATAGGGGTGACAATCGTCAACTATCTTCCAATCGCAAACGCAAGTAAGGAACACAGGTCTCGGTCTGGACAATGGGATTTAGATCTGGTTAGATCCAGTTTCATCCGGTAGGCAGCCCAGCATTGCAGTGACACTAGACCAGCTGACTGAGATCGAGGAAATAAGAGATAATCATATTAGTAAGGTGTCGGCTGATCCGCGCGTCAGGACGTCATCACCATCGGGATGTCGGCTGATCCGCGCGTCAGGACACCATCGCCGTTAGGGTATCGGCTGATCTGCGTGTCAGGACACCATCACCATCGGGGTGTCGGCTGATTCGCGCTTCAGGACGCCATCACCATCAGGGTGTCAGCTGATCTGCGTGTCAGGACACCATCGCCATCAGGGTGTCGGCTGATCCGCGCGCCAGGACACCATCACCATCAGGGTGTCAGCTGATCTGCGTGTCAGGACACCATCACCATCAGGGTGTCTACGGACTGGTATGCTATTTCGATAGCCAGAGCACTCACTTTCTCTACAGAAACTGATCAAATGCACTAAAGGCACACTGAAGACCGAAAATCGAACATACGGCGCATTGCCCAGATTTTGTCCTTTATTCTATCCTTGTTCCCCAGTGTTTTAAGTACCTTTACCTCGTTGAGATCCTCCCCTGCCTCTTCACCCGGCGCTAACCGGCAGCGACGCTGTTGGAAGAACCTGCGCCCCGCACTGCACAACCGTCGCGATTTGTACAAGTTTTTCTAGTCTTTTAACGTGAGCCAATTGATTTGGCCGACTCAGACCCAAACTAGCGAACAATGCAAAATGTGCGGAGATGCGTGCACGCGGAAGTGCATGGGCCTTGACCAGAACTTTGACCGGCTCCTGAGTGGAGTGGAGCAGAAATTGTGGCAGAGATAACAGAGGTCTCGTGAGCGTTTTTCGGGTGAGTGCAACAGGTGTAACTCGCGGTAGAAAATGTT